TGTAGGGCTTTTAACCTTGATTTAAAAAAAGACTTTCCTGTTCATTATCATATCTAGCTCTGGGGAGACGGACAGGTTAGTGATGATCTGCACCATTTTACAGATGAGATCCCTGAGGTGGCTTTGTGGCTTTGGTCCAAGAAGCCATTTATTTTTGACTACTGGCTTCACATGGCTCCTCCCTTGACTGGCTCCTTCTTATCCCTAATCCCCTATCTTTGTAGCTTGTCTGTTACCTATCAAAGGAAGCCATGTCTGATTTCTCTATTGGAAGTTAAACTGTTTTTCCCACCTCTGGTTTCCCTTCAACTCCTTGTTTATTTCATTATTGCATTAGCCACTAGTTTTATTTCTTGGGTTTTCAACTGGTAATTATTATTTAATTTTATTGAGGAGTCTGTTTCCAGCATAAGAACAAAAACACATAAACTCCATGAAGGCAAGGACCCCATCGTTGTGTTTCTGTTGCCCTAGGGTGGTGCCTGGCACACCAGACACTCTTTGTTAATGTGTTTGGAAGGGAGATAGAAGCTAAGTTTAAAAGACTAAGCTGATCTTTGAGTGTCTATGTTCCAACAACAGAAAATGGACTAGAGGAAGGCTGTTTGAAGTTTGAGAATTATTATGAAAGGACATTTTTACAAATGAACCAGGTTTATACTTCAATATGTGTAGAGTTCTCTGAATCGTATCTGGCAGATAAATAAGACTTGCTTTTGGGGGAGTTTTTTTTAATTCAGTGGGCTTTGAATTAGAAGGAATTCCAATGCTTGTTCTTGTTCTGCTTGAGTAGAATTGATAAAATCTGCTAATCATCAGTTTTGCTTTAAACCCTTGAGGAATTTTTAAACTTTGGGAACTCAGGTCATGATTTTGAACTTTTATTTCTAATAATGTTCCTGGCGTTTTTTATAAAACAGATTTTGTTGTTACTATTTTTTTAAATCCTTCTCATATGCATATATAGTTTGAAAGTCTTGTTCCTAAATCCCCATTTTACAGATTGTAGAGTCCAACATATGGAAATAATTAAGGCATTGTCTGTTCAGTGTGGAAGTATCCAGGAAAGTTATGAAAAGCTCCAGGAAGGATAGATGTCCATGTTGATCAAACTACCAGATTCTTAAAATGTGTTGCTTTTACATTGTGTCATATGGGGGAAGCAGAACAATTCTGTTCTGGATGACTTTTGGAGGGCATGTCTAATAATAACTAGGTTTTTCTCATATATTTTTCCACTGGATCAACTCTATTACTTTAGATATCTAGGGCTACAAGTAATAGAGATTTCAATCCAAATAGCTTAAACATGTTATTTTAGGTACAAGGACAGGTGATTCCCAGGTTAATGAGTTGAGGAGCTGGGTGGCCTTGTCAAGGATCCAAGTTGTTTGTGGTCATCCTTAGCATGTCAGAGTAGTCTCCTCATGGTCAAAATATGGCTGCCGCAGATTCAGGCATTGCATCTCAGCATGACAGTCTCCAGAGACACCAGCAAGACACCGTTTTCTTGTCTTTATAGGTGTGAAGAAAGCTTTCCAAGAAGCTCTAGAACAGACTGCCCCTTGTCAGTGGTTTGCTGGACAGAATGAATCACGCCAGTAATCCTACAGTGGGCCATAAATTACCGTGAATGGCTTGGACCAATTGGGATTTATGCGCTTTCTCTGAGGGCAAATAAAATATGGGTCACACCATCAAAGGAAAGGCAGCAAAGAGATGAGGAGGCAATAAGTGGTCATTGCCATACCAGATTCATCCTACTGGAACCCCCCTTTACGGATACTTATTTTTTGCTCTCAAATAACGAGCATTTTCAAAATCAGGGCAAAAGGGTGGTTCTTTTGTTGCAGAGTTCCTTACGTAAATTCAGATTTTCTGTCTAAATTTTCTAAGAGAATTTTATGGATAAAGACTTTCATTCAGTATTTTACGGGTTGAATCTTGTGCTCGCAGTTCATGTGAATATTTTGAGAAAATGTTATAATTGCATTTTAATCTAGAGACTTGTGAGCCTGCCTATTTACTGTTGAGGTTTTCTGCAATCCTTGTACTAGAGGAAGTGTCATTTTGTGTAAACCAGGAAAAGAAATTGGTTCAAGTAAGTCTAATTGCAGAGTTGCTGAATGAAGATATCCCTTTCTGTCTCTTACAACAGAAATTTAAAATTCAATTTAAAATTGTCAAACAATGATCATGTCACATCTGGAAATTTCAGGTTTTTACTCCCTTGCTTTTTTTCCTAATTACCTGAATGCTCTGGATATTCAGACTTTCAGCTGTTTGACTTTGCTGGAGGTAAGGGAAGGTATCCAGTTTATTTCACTTTTCTCAGATGTGACTCATTTCTTTGACATAAAAATCCTTATCTCACAGGATAAGCCTCAGGAATTGGTTTGAAGAATGAAGACAAACCTGGCTTTTATGAGAATAGGGAATTTTTTTTATTGGAAGCATAGTTTTCAACAAAGAGTCACCTTGGAAAGCGGTTGGATTTGTCCCAACTTCCCAGTGGAAGGTGAAATAAGACCACAGATTTATCAGCCTGATCCTTAGAGACAACATTCAGAAACATGAACTGTTAGTTCATCCAGTGTTCTCTCCTTTCAGATGAGGAGATGTAGGCCTAGAGAGATTAAGTGACTTGTTCACTTCCATTAATTTTTGGTGGATATAGGCCGGGCATGGTGGCGCACGCCTGTAATCCCAGCACTTTGGGAGGCTGAGGTGGGTGGATCACAAGGTCAGGAGTTCAATACCAGCCTGACCAACATAGTGAAACCCTGTCTCTACCAAAAATACAAAAATTTAACTGGATGTGGTGGAGGGCACCTGTAATCCCAGCTACTCGGGAGGCTGAGGCAAGAGAATTGCTTGAACCCAGTAGGCAGAGGTTGTAGTGAGCAGAGATTGCACCACTGCACTCCAGCCTGGGCAACACAGTGAGACTCCATCTCAAAAAAAAAAAAAAAAAAAGAAATTGGTGGATATAGTATTTCCCTAAAGCCCTGGAGAACAGGTGGTATATACAGTATTGTATGGTGCTATACTGTCTGATATTGTGTATACAGTTACCTTAACACTCTGTACTTGGGTAGCTTTGATAATGCAGATGTATAAATTGGTAGTGATGGTGGTAATGAAGATGAGGATGATCATGAAAATCATAAGAGAGCAGCTACCTGACATTTATTGAGTACTTACTATATGCTGGGCAACATGCTTACAGCTATTAGCTGTAACACAATATTTATATTATTGCCCCATTTGACAGATGAAGAGAGTGAATTTAGAGGTTAGACTTGCCCAGTGTCACACAGCTGGAAGTAGCAGAGTTAGCATTCTAGCTCATATTTGCCTAATTTCAGACCCTGAGTTCTAAATTATGAGGCTTACCACTAATTATTGGGGAGGGAAAGGATAGTGTTTATGAAGCTGAGAAGGAACGTTCCTGAGTGGCACCAGGAATGACCTGGAAGAGTGAAAAGCCCTCAGAGGGATTGGACCATCCAGTGCTCATAGGGGATTATGTAGATCAGGTGAAAATTGGACCTGCCTCATCAATCCACAAGAGAAAGTCCAGGGTAGAGAAGAAACCTCAAGGAAGGGGGTTGAGCTTTGAAAGGAGAAGTTGGCTACAGGTGCTGGAGGGGCTGATGGAATGTAGATGGGGCAGAGGTTGAGATCCTGGCCCTCCCATGTCACACACCTCAAATTGAGGCCACATGGCTGTCAGTGGAAACAGACCCAGGTGCTGGTTTCAATAAAAGGTGGGACTAGGATGCAAGGGTAGGGAGGGCAGAGAACAGCTAAGGTCTGAACAGCTCTGCAAAGTAGGTACATGGCTCCCAGGATTATCACACACATTTTTCACATGGGAAGACAGAATTTTCGAGATGTTAAGTGACTGTTCTAAATCATTCAGCTGAGGCTTTCAGTCCCCATATTTGGAATATCTGGTGTAGAATTATACAGGCTTGGCTACGGAAGGCATGACTCGGGCAGAGAGGACTAGAGGAGCCAGGAAGAGAGCAGAATAGGCACAGCCTCTAAACCAGCAACCATGCTCACAGCAGCCCAGAAGCCCAGGGGAGAACATGTGTGTTCAAGGTGGTTGCATGTTCATGATTATAATGACACTAACACCCAGTAACAGAGAAGTTACCTTGTGGTTATGAGCCTAGGCTCTGGAGCCAGCCTGCCTCAAGTCCTACCTCTGCGTCTTCTCGCTGTGTATCTTCTATCAGATTGTTTTCCCCCTCTGGGCCTCAGTTGCCTCTTGTGCAAAATTGGAATAATAATTATACCTCATAGAATGTTGTAAGAGTTTAATAAGCATGTAGAGCAGGAGTCAGAAACCTTTTCTATTAAGGACTCAATAGTAAAATTTTTGGCATTTATGGTCGTATAGTGTCTGTCATGACTACTTAACTCTGCCATAAGTTGGTAGAAAATTCAGGCATTTAAAAAATCTGTTTGCCATAGGAAATTTGCAGAAGCCCACAGCAGGCAAATATCTCTTGATTTATAAATGAAATTGTATAAAATAGTAGCCATAGAAAGTAGACTTCTGATTCCAAATTATCAACACAGTCGTGCAGGAAACAGGCAACTTTTTAAAAAATACAAGGTTTTAGTTTGTGTAAAGGTGATTATAAGAGGTATGTTCCTTCTACAGGTCTGCTTAGCTTTCTCCTAAACACTGCTTTTGATTTATCCAGCTCATCTTTTTTTTAATAGAAAATATAATTTGGCGGCCAGGCTCGGTGGCTCACACCTGTAGTCCCAGCACTTTGGGAGGCCGAGGCAGGCGGATCACAAGGTCGGGAGATTGAGACCATCTTGGCTAACACAGTGAAACCCCGACTCTACTAAAAAATACAAAAAAAAAAAAAAGTAGCCAGGTGTGGTGGCGGGCGCCTGTATTCCCAGCTACTCTGGAGGCTGAGGCAAGAGAATGGCATGAACCTGGGAGGCGGAGCTTGCAGTGAGCAGAGATCGCACCACAGCACTCCAGCCTGGGCGACAGAGCTGGAGTCTCAATTAAAAAAAAAAGAAAGAAAGAAAGAAAATATAATTTGGCAAGTTGCAGCCCATGGTTAAATAAGTACCACCAGAAAGTCTGAAAATGTATTTTCCATTTATAGAAAAAAAGGGTTACACTGACTTAGAAATGTTTTATGTTGACAGTTTCACTTAAAGGAGATATACCTCATTCTTAATGTAAGAAGTAATTGAGAAGTGTATCTTGGAATCATTTCTGGTAAAGAATTCTCTTGCCCTTTCCCCAAATTAAAAAGAGTAAGAAAACCAAATGAAGTACAAAAGCCTTAAATTTCAGTGAATAGACAGCTGTGCTATCTATTCAGGCTTTGATGGTGGGATAGGTGGGCCCCATATGAATCCATTGTACCCCAAATTATGTAAGCTTCAGAAGCAGTTGCACTACATGAAGTCCAGAAAATGTAGATGGCGTGCATTTAACGGGGCTGACCTTGGTAAATACAGATTTGTGGATGGGAGAATGGTTTTGTGATACAGCTTCACCAAAAGCAAAGTGCGGTCTGAGTAATGATATACTTTGTATGTAGTTTACAGGGAATGGAGACTTTTTGTTTTATTCTTTTAAAGGGACTCTGGAAACCACATCTAATTTCAATCTAATGAAACACTTCCTAATGCCAGGGGTTTCTCAGGTCGGTTTCCTAAGAGAGGCACCTCATGCCTGTCTTGTACTGGATGTCCTATGTACAAAACACTGACCCTGTGTTTAATGGTATTCTCGTGCCTCTTTTTTATCTGTTGGACATTAACGTATCAAGGGTCAGTTAGCTCCCACTGTGTGCAGTAGAGAGAGGTAGGGAGAGAATACTGAGATGTCAGTTCATACATCTCTATACATGTGAGTGTAATGGGGATTTAGGCTTTCTATTCTGTTTTAGAAACTGAAAATCAAATCAGATCAAAAGATGGTTTTTGACCAGAATTTATAAATTTCCTAGTGAGTGTTGGCACTGAAATTTAAGGAGCAGATGTATCTTCTTGAAATTCAGGAAGCTTACATGAATTCCTAATGAAAAACAAATAGCTTTTCCAGCAAAAAAAAAAAGGGGGGGGGGCGGGGTTTCTCTGTGATGTTAATTGTACCAAGTTCTGATTATGTGTTTCAAATCACAGTAAAATTCAAGGAAAGAGGATTTTTTTTTAAGTTTGCTTGTCTGGGAATTGAGATGTGGGAGTTCAGGAGTTCTGGCCCAAACACGTGCCTCCGAAAATGGGGTAGACAAGTGCACAAGCATCTGCATGTGAGGATCCGCATGCGAAGATGCACGTGAAGACCACAGCTTCCTTTCCTGTCCTCACCATGTGAGTGCATCATTCTTCAACAGTAGTTCAGTTCAGCCTTTCTTAAGATAATAGCCTTGCAAGTGAACGGACAAGCAAAGGCAGTTGCTGAGTATTAAAGCTTCCGTGCTTACGCATCCAAATGTTCAGGATACACCTGAGATGTCTCTCGTGCTGAACAGAAACAACATCCCTGGAAGCTCTAGACCTCTGAGGCACCCCAGCTTTCCCCGGTGAGTACATTAACCTTTTCCCTTCTTGACATGCTGTGGAATCAGCTGGAATGCTCATTTCATTGTAGCCACTGGACAAAAATGCAGCTTGCCCTGGTCACAACAGTAATGACGGTTAAAGTCTGGGAGTTTGTCTAAGGAGGGGGTGAACCCTAATGGTTGAAAGGTTGACAGCTTTCTGAATGTTTGCCACCTCTTCTTAAAAGCAGCTTCACCAGAGCAGTTTGGCAAAGGTAAAAACAAAACAGTTATACTGCTTGCACCTCTAGGATTTTAAATCACAAACTGTATATTCAACCATTCAGTAGACCAGTGAGAAGTAAAGAATCCTAACTGAAGGTGAGAAAGTCTTGTGTGTAAAGTTTATTGCCCTGATCTCTTTATGTGGTTATGTTCTGCTAATAGGCAAATTCACTTAATTTTTACATGGTTTCCCCGGATGAGCTGTTTACATAGTTGCTTGTTCTTCTCTCCCCTTCCCGCGTCTTCCCTGCTTCTCTGACCAACACCATCTAGACCTAGTGAATAGACTTTAGTGTACAAATGTGACAAACTCATTTCATGCGCACGAGCCGTGACTCATTGTCAGTCACCTGGAGCCTAGGGGGCTTTCTGCATTAGGAAACCTTTTACTCCTAATAATGCTGTTTTCTGGATCACGAGTAACGCTCAGCCATGGCTGTGCTAAATACAGAAATATCTGTGTTCTAAAATCTCCATCTCCACAAAATTAATCTGATGCTGATGCAAAGGGATCCATCTGCCGAACATTTCCCAAGAATATGGGAGAAGGGGCAGACACAATTGAGTATGCAAAGGTGCATTTAAACATTTTAACCCCTTTGAATGATGAGTAGGTTGAGTATTTCTCAATGGAGCAAAATGTGTCTGGTACGCCATTGAGCAGGCATATTTAAATGATTTCCCCGTTCTTCCACCACATAAACAGTGGTGCAAATTCTCTCATGGAAGGTCTTGTTTCTCCATCTGTATATTGCGCTCCAGAGCGTTTGCTCCCAAACATACCCTTGTATTGTTGGGGGATGGGAGCACTCACCCTCGAGGTTGAATTCTGTCCCTTATTCCACTCACCCTCTCTTTCCTGGCCTGTTTCTTCATCGGTCAAATGGGGACAGTAGTAATGGTAAGTCATAAGATGCTTGTAACTTGGCAGATTTGTGACAATTGTCCAGCATAGCTTTTAGCACATAAAAGGAGCTCTTCCAAAATGTTTTTCTTCTTTTGAGGGTTTCCAGGAAAAAGATTTTGAGGAAAAAGGTTTCAGGCCTTATTGGATTAAAGTCATGTTCATACCTACAGATTGTTGGTTCTCTCGAGAGCAGGCACTGTCTGGTGCAGACTCTGGGAGATGTCCCCTGCAGAAACCTAAGTTTTAACATAACCCATGCTAATTACATCATGTCAGTGACAGTGGGCATGGCAGAGCTGCTCCCGCCCTTGACAGAAAATAGTGTATGTGATTTGTAAATGAACTGTGTGCTCACGTGTTCTCTGGGAATGTAAATATTGACTCTAAGGAAGAACTAAGATAATTTTGTGGTGAGATAGTTTCTAGTTGTTTAGGCTTTCATTTTGCTTTGTTTTAATTGCATACACATTGAAACTATATTCCAGCCTTGGCCAAACTTCAGTCATTCAGATACCACCATCCACCCTTCTGTTATCCATGTTGTTATTTAATATTTTTATTTAAATCCCCTCTTTTAAAATGTAAACTTATTTTAAAAGCAAACCATCTCTTTCTTACATAAATAGGAAACAAGTGTCACATGCAGTAACTAGAAGGTGGCCTTGATGTGCAGTGAAAAACAACATCTTCAGATCAACTGAAGGCTCCAAGGCCTGAAACTCATGTGCAAGAGGGAGACTAGCAAGTGTGTGAGAGGCGTTTAAGACAGTTTCACACCAAACAGAGAGGTTCTCCTTAATATAGACTCCTGAGACTAGTTCGGAAGCTTTTCTTGTTTGGATTCTTGTGTCAACATATTTTGTAGATTAGACCTCATTGAATGTCATAATCTCATCTTTTATTAATATCATTATCATTGACGGGTTTTGTCACCCCTTTCCATAAAATGGCACTGGAGACAAAAGAAAATAAAATTCTACACATTGCTGGGCCAAACTGTGAAACTGTATTTAAAATAAAACAAAACCCACAGTTTTGAGTAACTCTTTCTCAGTTAAGCCTTCAGGTTGAGAACAACATTGTCAACCGGGCATAATATTAATTCCAAACCCACTGAAAGGCATCAGCCAGAGAAAGATTGTGACAACCCCCCGCCATCCCACTAATTGCGGTTAACTGTGTCTGCCTGGGTGTTCCAGTTGCTTGGTGTGCCTGGGGTCTTATTGAGGATAGGAACTGTGTCTCAACACTACTACAGCATTTCTCTTGAATTCTTAGCCTAGTAAGATGAATATGATCAATTCCATCAATAGTTCTTGGGTAAACTTGAAGCCTCCCGCAGCTTGCCAAGCAGAGCAGATGCATGTCCTTGGAAGCACTTGTGATCCCCTTTGCTTAGGCTGTCAAACAGTGCAGCTCTGTGCTGTTCCTGGCTTGTAGGGTTAATGTCGAAACTCATAGGCTTAAGAGAGTCCATGATTAAGAGGTTATTGTAAAGCTTACGCAGCATATTTAGTTAATTACAGTTCTTTGTTTACCCTCTCCTGCCATTTGCATTTGCAAGGAATTGAGAGAGTCTGCTGTGTTTGTCTTGGAATGGATTCTCCAAAGGCTTAGAGACCTACTTTTCCCTTTCCTTATCAGGTCCTCTGGGTCCCAGCCCCTGACCCAGGGAGCCGGACTGAACAGGAGAAAGAGGAGAAAGGAGAGTTCGCTCATTCACATTTCTGTGTCTGGGTGGCTGTGTCTCTTGCTGCAAAAAGGCCAGTGAAGGATGAATCATCTAGTTTATCCACTTTTGCATATATATATATATATGTTTTGTTGGAGTAGATACCATAACATGAGAGTATACCATAATTTGTTCTGGGAAGCGTTGTTAATGATAAAGAAAATTTAGTTTTCCAAACAATATTTTTGAACCTTGCAGTGATATTTATACCTTAGAAGAAACTTATCACACTGTACAAAAATTAGGACTTTTAAGATTGATATTTAGTACTTTGTTTTTTAAATTATCTCCCTGCTGACTTTCCAGATATGCTCCTGGAGAATTTTTTTTTTTTTTTTCCACATACCCAGCAGCTTTCCCTCCATGGTATAGAGCTAGCCAAAGATTTTATTTGCATTACATAAACATAACTGGTTATACTACAGAGGGCTATTTTTGGCAACAGGATTTCTGTATTTGATTTTTTCAGTCCTAAAGAAAAAAACTTATATTAAAGATATAAACTTTTTTAATGTAAAAATAATACATTTTCATTTTATAGAAAATACAGAAACATATGTGACAAAGTGAAATTCTACACCCCAAAGCTAATCACTTAATATTTTGGTGTGTTTTTTCTTTCTATGCATAGAAAAAAAAATTGAGGTCATACCATTTAACTCTTGAGTTTTTGTATTTTTGCTTCTTGCTCTTGTCTGCAAGACGTAAGTTGAAGTAAATGGTATTTAATGTTCTAAAATCACTGATTACAAAGTTAAGTGATTTTAAATGATGTTTTAAAATTTTATTAAATTGCATACCCTTTGAATCATAACAACATAGTCTCCTACATCTTTAAATATTTTTCAGAATTTAATGTTAGTCATAAGACATAAGATACAGCCTTTAAATAGTGAATGGCAGAATGGCAGAAAATTGTCCATGAGATTAATTGGTTAAAAGTGCTGAGATAAGTTCCAGCTTTGTAATTACTTTTCTGTTATTTATGGCCATTAGTTTGATTACATAGTTTGTAATATGAGGCCTTGGATTTAAAGTGTATCATTGTTAACCTAAAATGGGAATAAAGAATAACCACATGCTCAATTCTATTGCCACATAAGAATGAAGAATTCATATCATAAGATGAGAAATAGTCACAGAAATCCAACTTAAAAACTAGTGGTCAGGTTCCAAGCGAAGATATTTCAGATTTTATTAACTTGAAGCAGCTGTTGTCTCTAATATGACACACCCCTCAGAAATGGAATAGGTCTTATGAAGAATACTTGTGTTTTTTTCTTTTTTTAAAGCAGCTGGCTTCCCATCATTGAGCTGTTTTTGAGTTCAGGAACTCCAGCTCTTGGCCTTTTCCTTGTGAGAGGGAAGGCTGAGGCCCTAGAGACTTTTCCTGGTGCAGCTGCTGGAAGGACAGGGTGAAAGAGGAAAAAGCTTTGACCAAGTTCTGTGCAGGGTCTGGGCACAGTGGTGAGGGCATTGGGAAAGAAGGATGGATAAACCCTCCCTGCATCTATGAGCACCACCCTTGCTGCTGGGCATCTCATTGTCGTAAACTCTCAGTAATAGAAGGGACGGGACAGGAGACAGTCCCAGGGGCACGTGGGAGGGGCTGGAAAGAGGAAGATAGGCAGATTCCAAGGGGCAGCTGCCAGGAGGGAAGGCTGCTTCTCAGTCAGGTTCAGGGTTCCACCGTGGAATTCCAGGAGGAGTACTCTAATCGCAGTCTCCAGCATTCTTGAAAGAGACAAGTGGGGAAGACCCTTGGGCTGGAATGTACTGGAGTTCCTGGCTCGCTGCGGTTGACTTGCTGCCTGACCTCTGGTGTTCTTCAAAGAGTTGCTCAGATGTCATTCTTCAGGGCTAACTTTGATTCCTGGCATGAAATCATCTCCATTCACTGGGTGGTTGTCCCTACCACAGTTTCTAGTTATGTATTAGCATGATTATTTGAGTAATATTTTCCTCCCCATATTTTATCCAACATTCTATCCCCAGCACCAGGCCCCATACCTGGCATCCTGAAGTCCACTGTAAAAATTCATCAAAGGAAAAGATGACCTTTTGAAGGTCATTTTACCTCTCTTTGCTTTATTTAGCTTTCTGAAATCTTTTGATAAA